CTTGCACAAACTAGCAGAAACTCAGAGTATCACGTTTCTTATCGCAGAATAAGAAGGGGAGGGAGGGAAAGGAGAGGGCAGGAAAGGGAAGGAGTAAAAAAGGAGCTGGAAACATTTTAAAATAAAATTAATCGCTCTCACAGCATCTCAAACAACGGTTATTTTTTCCTTCCTCGTACTTTCCTGTTGAAGTAAAAAATGCTAAAAATGAAGCGACACGTGCAACAATATGAGAATTAATCAGAATGTTGCAACTATTGAAGATAAATACAAATACCACAAAATAAGAGAAGGGATGGGAGAAAGCGGATACCACAGAAAGAGGGCTTTTGTGCTACAATATATTTTTCAAATGATGAAAACGGAGGACGGCAGGATTTCGTTGTAACCAGAGCAGAAATCAAAATTTGTAGGGGAAGCATGTAGTTTGGCTAATCGTCAACCAAAGGTGAGTAGCAGGCATAAGTTCTAGGAGTGATTAGCAAATATAAGTTGGGAAATGGCCAGCTGAAATACCTCCGAAGAAAAAATAGGCTTGTTGCGTAGCAAATATAGCGTATAAGTGGCTGTGAGCATGAAATCCGGTTCAGAAGGATCTGCCATAATTGGGTCTGGTTTGTATCTGCGTTTCGATAATACGGAGTGATTTCATGACGACAACTCGAGCGATTTTGGTGATACAAAGCTTTCGCAAGTAGCACCGATAAAAGAGATCAAGAAAAATCATGATAATGGCTCCGTTTACATCGGTAAATGTTGGACAAAATTACAGGTAGCTATGCGGCTCACAGCTTTTTTGACTGACTATGTAAATTATAACCTCCATGCATTCGACGCTTGGATCCTCGGCCACCTCGGCCTCCACCTCTCCAGTGTCCTCGGCCACGTCCACGATACGGCCTTCTCTCGCGTGCCGAGCTGTTACCTTCAGTATGGACCTTGACGTTCATACTCTTTGCCTGATCCAATTTCGGCAGTGCGCTTGGCCTCGACTCACTTTTCGTTTCCGCCATTGAGCACAAATGCAGTTGCTGGAAACAGAAATAATGTTTGTGAAAAATGAAAAAAAAAAAAAAACCGCTTGCGAAAAAACCAAGATAACGACGCATGATGCTTGCCACTGCTAACATTTTTACATAATTCAATCCTGCGGGGAGATTGCCTGTATTACCGAGATGTGATTGCGGTGCTGCAGTTCGAAAATTTGACACGCCTGTACGCAAGACTTATGCCTAGGCAGGGGATCTTGGTGGTCTGCACATTAACAGCAAAATTTTCAGAAAAATACCGCTTCCTGTGAGATATTTCAGTCACACGTTGGCACAGAATATCCTTGTGAAGCTTCGGCTTCCTGGTCTGACTGGTTAATGAAAATGCCGTTTTTTACATATGTTCCTGAAGTGCCTGAACGCACAATACGGGTTCATGCCAAGGCTAATTTTACACCCACTTGCCCATGTATGAAAAACAAATAGCCTTGTGCTCAAATACCTTCGTAAAGTGAGAGCACTCTAAGCAGATTGGCTTCGAATTGATGTTTTGCCGGCGACGACAAAACTCAAATTTGATGCATCCGTACACGTGATGTAGGGGTGAATTTAAAATTTATAGGTCACACAATGAGAAAGAACATTCTTGTGAAACTTCAGCTTTTTATCTGCTTTGGTTCCGGAAATCACCCTTCCGCCAAAAAATTTATATGAATTTTCTTAGGTTTCGGTACGTAAGACTTGGAGAAATGAACGCTGTTTTTAAAATGTTTCAATGGCTCATGGGCTAAGAACAACCATATGAAATTTCAGCTTACCAACTTCTGCAGTTGCTGAGTTAAATGTGGGTGACAAAAATCCGAGAACACAAACATAAATACACATCCAACGAACACACACACACACGCAAATATACACATAAATACACACACAGACATATACACATATACATAGACATATACACACGCACACACACATATATGCACACATACGTACACATACGCACACACAGACATACACACGCACATACACAAGGCTCGACAATAAGAACAGTTGCATTTGCATATTTGTTCGCTGCTTTTATCGTTTATCCCGAATTCTGGCGCTTATCGTGGATGAACGATAAAAGCAGCGAACAACTAATGAAAATATGAATCAGCTTTTAACTGTACTGCACAAGCTTATTTCATTACTTATTCAGCAGCAACTAACAGAAAGTAACTGACCACGGCCTAAGAAGAGGGCAGGGAGGATCGACAAGACAGAAGTGGGACGAACAGCTGGATGGTACTCA